TCTTTATTTAAGGAAAATATATTGCTCTTCCTAATTCTTTCTTGCTTAAGTTTAGTAATTTTTTTTAATAATCTGATTTGGCTCTTAAAATAAAAATAAGTTTAATTGATTTTCTTATTTTTAAATTTACTAATTTATTCTTACTTGTTTATATTTGGTAATGAAATATATTAACATATTTTCTGATTTGGATACCCTTTAAAATAAGGAAAATTGTATTATGATTGATTCCTTGAAATATTTATTTCCCTTATTTGTTCCCCCCTCCTCTGCTATATAAAGAGACTCCTTTTGTTCATTCACACACTCATTCACTCTCAACCAAAAAGACATTCATTCACTCTCAACCAAAAATTCTCTCATCTCTCTCCCTTCTCTCATTGCTCTCTTGCTAATTTAACAACACATTAAGAATCCGATAAATATTCAAGTGTTCTTCTTCACTATTTTGCTACTTTAAAAGTTGAATCAATTTGTTTTGCTTAACCGGTTAGTATTCTTAACATTTATACTATCTTCACATTCATATATTTGTGTAAGCTATTGTCTGTTTTTTTTATGTAGAATTCGTCAGTAAATAATTGCATATTGTCTCACCTTTACTAATAAGTGTGATTGCTTGTGTAGTTATTTGATTACTTTGACAGGTTTCAAACTTGAAGTTCAAGTTGAAGATTAATTGAAGAAAGATTTATTTGTTTATTTGAATGTATATATATATCTATATATTTTTATTTATTTTCTATTTTTATTTATTCGAATGTTGTAACAATTGTAACTCTAAAGATCATATAATAAATTTATTTGGGGGATCGTCTAGGGGAGGGGGATTTATATGCTTACTTGTTCACTATATTTTTTTTAGAAATCATGCCTAGGTTTGTCTTTAACCACCTAGATTTGATATTTGTAGATGTTATAATCTAATCAATTTTCAATTTGCTTGACGCTTTTGTTTATAAGTCTTAAAAAATAATAACTAGATTCCATTAATTTTTTAAAAATGGTAAAATCAAATCCTAATAATCTAGTAGGTTGTTAAATGTCAAAATATATTATAAATTTTCATTTGTCTTATCACGTAGAAACTATGCCTAAATATTAAATTGTTCATATCATTTACAAAAACATGCATATACATGTTACTCTGTTTTTTTTAAACACCTAGAAATCATGTCTATAGGGTTGTAAATAAACTTTCAGCATATCCATAAAAAATAAAATTTGTTTGTGCATATTTGAGCCCTCCCCCTAAAATTAGTTAATATTATTTAACTAGTAATCCTATTTGTCTTCCGCATTCATGATGCAATATTTTTTCTTAATAATACTAATTTAGAATCATTTCATGCATTTAACAAGTTATTTGGCTTTAAATATATTTTATCGTAAAACCTTTGCATTTAATAAATTTACCACCTTAATGTTTTACTAGTTTTTTAGTACTTACAAAATTTTGCAACATAATTTTTCTTAAAAGTAATTATTCAATCTTCCTTTGAAATTTTGGATTGATTATGACATTATTTTGAAATAAATTACAAGTACTATCTCCTAACCTATCATTAGTGGGAAAGTCATAGGAACTACGAGGTCTAGTTCCAATTTTTTTTAAACCCGACGCATCCCCGGAAGTACCACCTACCCATAGATTTCAAAAGAAATTATGTGCATTTATATGTAAATGTTTATGTGCCTACGTGTGAACTAAATCTTAAATTATTTTTTCAAAAAAAAAACATAACTTTTTTAGACCGACCTCAAAACAAAATTGTTTCTAAGGTGGAGGAGCGCGATCAACAATATCGTGGCATCATCCCTACAAAGAAACAAATATTTTTTTTAAAATAAAAATTTTATACTCAAAACTTATCAATTTTTCAAACTTTATTTTTGCACATATTAATTGCTTAATATTTGCCAATTTTGTTTATAACATAGTGTCGTATGTCAAAATAAATAAAAATGAGCTTAATTGTTCATTTATTGCCATCACCTAGCTTTGCATATCTAAATAAATAAAAATAATAAATAGTCTTAATTGTTTATATTTGTTATCACTTAGCGAGTTTATATAAATTAATAAATGAAGTGACCTATTTGCTACTTGTAACCCCCACATAGATTGCATGAGATACGGTTGGGACCCACATTTGTGGACCTCGAGGGATGCCTAATACCTTTCCCTCGAGGTAACTTGAACCCTTACCCTAATCTCTAGCTCGCTGACCTTAGCTAGACTTAGTTAGGTTAGATAGGTGTTCTAACGCGCCTTAATTCGTTAGGTGGCGACTCCAAACTCAAAAATCCCAAAAGAGTGGTTACGTCGCGCACAAAACCCATTTTCTGCAAAAATGGGGCGCGACAGAATGGCGACTTCGCTGGGGATATTAGGTTCTTACCATTACGTGTTAACTGCTTATTCATGTGGGGTTTACTTTATTTTTGTCATTTCACTATTTGTTAGGTGCTTACCATGTTTAGCTTATTTTGTTGCCTTAGTTATTATCTTCTCTCCATGTTCCACCCTTTTCCTTCTTCCTTAATTGTTTATTATCGTGTTTCACCTTTTCCCTTTTCCCTTATTTGCTTACATATTTAGTCTCGTATCTTTTTTCCTTATTTGCGTAATTTTAATATCTTAATATGTTTAAATTCCTTTATCCATGCTTATTTATGTTTGTTTAAATTGTCTATATGTTACTCTTTCCAATTTAAATGCTAAATGTTACTGCTTTGATAATTGACATCCCGCTCATACTTCCCCCCAATTGGGACCCTCTTCTTTTTTATTTTGTTCTCGTGATGTTGTGCCTTTGCACCTCTCACAACTACTCCAATCTTATTCAAATACCCATTATAGAGAGTCGGCATATGCGTGGACGTAGTGGATAGTTTTACTACCGCGAAGCCACGAGCCTCTCACACAGAATCCCTTTCAAGTCCGTGTCAATCCACTCTTAGAAGTCCTAGTTAAGTCATACATGCTGCATAAGCCCTAGATGGTTTGACCCTTGGTGTCAATCCACATAATTAGTAGCCACCCTATCATCTAAAGGGCCCCAACACCCTTAGACAAATTGCATATTTATGTGTCAACGTGATCATAATAATTAAATCAAGCCAACATTGCCAAAATGGAGTTTAGAAGTCGTTTATTACATTGTTAGCAGAGTCATGGCTCACCCTCACTTTCCCAACACGCAAATGGTGGTCAAAGTTAATCCCATTTTGAAGACTTGGTGGAAAGATATTCAAAAAAATTGAGAGTTAGAAGCAAATGAATTGTTAGGCGGCCTTACTGCGTTGATCTCCGTAGAGTCAGATCGTCACTTAATCAAGGCATTGTTGAAATTCTGGGACACTGAGAGGTTAGTCTTCAAGTTCAGGGATTTTGAGCTAACCCCAACAATAGAAGAAGTTGGAGGATTCATGGGTCTCGCATACAAAGAGTTGAAAATGATTGTTCCACACAAGCCAAGTCCAAGATCTTTTCTGAAGCAAATGGGCATGTGTCATAATCCAAATCTACTTTGTCTGAAAAAAGGTTGGATTTCTTTAGAGTTCTTATATTCACGCTTTGGGGATGAGGAAGGTCATCAAAACTTTCATAGAGAATTTGCTTGCTCTTCTTCAAAATGGGAAAGGTATCGTCTAATGCATTCGCTGTCGCCCTATTAGGCTCATTGGTTTTTCCTAGAAAAGGAGGAAAGATCCACACCGGCTTATGTTATGTGGTTCGTATGCTGGCTCGAGGTGGGAAAACCTTGGTCCCCATGATACTTGCAGAAATTCTAAGAGCTTTGACTGCATGCACCAAAGGCAAAAGATACTTTGAGGGGTGCAACTTTCTGCTGCAACTTTGGGCCGTCGAACATTTCTACCAAAGAGCTAATAAAGTAGACATTGTTAGAGGGACTATGGGGAACAAAATTATCAACCATCCCCTAAGGATGAAACATTTTATCTCCCCTGTGGGAACGGAGGACTGGTTCACATACCTAAAGGAGCGCTCAGCCGTTGAAATCCAATGGAAGTATTATTGGTTGAAGCCACGACGTGCCATCATAAGAGGAAATGAACTTTACTTCATTGAGCTTATCGGTTTGAATGGTGTGCAACCATGCGAACCACTTCGAGTCCTTCGACAATTCGGACAGATCCAAATGATACCTCTGCGATCCCACATGAGCCACCATGGATACGATTTTGGGTCAGAATTACCGCAAGTGAACACCATACTGCGAAGATGGAAAAATGTGATAACTATCGATGTTTAAGAGCACTGACCCTTCTATACACCTGAATATTATGTATGGCTTTTAGAAGATGCAGAGCATAGAGATTTGAGCGCAGGAGGTCTTCCTGGTTTTGGCGATGAAAAAGAGAGAAGATGGGCTCGCAACCTCCTCAACCCTGATTATGACATTACCCAGAAATGAAGAAGCAGATTGTGCCTAACATTGGAGAGCAACATGATTAAAGTTTTTTTTCTTATTTATTTCTCTTTATTCCCCATATGTTATCCCTAGCCCTTTAGTTATCTTTAGATTGATGTAATAAATAGAAATTATTTCAATAATCGAAAGTTGTTTTATTATCTAACTCTAAACTCCAAATTGACAACTAAGGCTTGAATTAATTATTATGCATCACTTACGTGTCGCTTAGGCCTACCTCTGGCTCAACGAGGTTCCATGCATTTAGGGCGTTTATTTCAAAACAACGTGTTTATATTATCCTAACCCCTAACTCTTTTCTTTTGATTCTATTGTTTTCCCATTTCCCAAGGTTGATCTGTCCTTCATCCTGGCACATACACGATCAAAAGGGACCCCCCCTTCTCCTTCTTCTCAAAGAGCAAGCTCAAAAGACAAAAGTAAAATGGTTGACGATAACACCACCACTGAAAGGGTAGAAGCTTCTGAGGGAGGACAACTTCAAAGTAATCTTATCCTAAGACTCGAGCGCAAGACTCGCAATTGGAAGAGGTAGCCAACATGCGTGATTTGGCCAAGTTGTCTATCTCTCTTGGAACCCAATTTGGAGAAAACATAGACAATCCTCCTAATCAAACAGCCACGCCAGACAATCCTCCAATCCATATATCCCCACCTGAACCCACTCGTCCAAATGCCTTTCCACCACCCCACTCCCAAAATATCCAAGTTCCATTTTACCACTATTACCAACATACCGAACCAACCTTCCCAGAAATAACCCCAAACACAAATATCCCATATACTTTTGGGAACAACAATCCCAATCCCATATACGTTGAAACTGCCCCTCTTACTCATGACCTCCATGAATCAGAGTCCCATCAGAAAGACATCCTAATAAAAACCCTGACTGAGAGATTAGACAACTTGACCAACAGGGTACAACACGTGGAAGGAAACAAGAAGTTGGGAGGATTAGGCTATGAGGATTTGTGCATGCATCCTGATGTGGAACTGCTCGAAGAATACAAGCTTCCAAAGTTTGAGACGTTCAATGGCATTGGGGATCCCAAAGCCCACCTACGAATGTATTTTGACAAACTTGTAGGGGTGGGGACAGATGAGAGGATACTCATGAAGTTGTTTATGAGGAGTCTTACTGGGGAGGCCCTATCATGGTACATTGAGCAAGACTCGCGGAAATGGATAAATTGGGTTGATATGGCAACTGACTTCATGAATAGGTTTGGTTTCAATATTGAAAATGCGCCTGATTGGTTTTACATTCAGAACTTGAAGAAGAAACCGAGTGAATCCTTCAGAGAATATGCCATAAGATGGAGGTCTGAGGCGGCTAGGGCCAGACCCCCTATGGAAGAATCTAAAATGAAAGACTATTTCATCCATGCCCAAGAACCACAATACTATGACCGAATGATGCTGGTGGCTGAAAAGAGTTTCGCTGAAATCATCAAACTAGGCGAAAGAATTGAAGAAGGCATAAAGAATGGGACTATCATCAACTTGGAGGCTTTACACGCAACCAACAAGGCTCTGCAATCTAGTGGAATGACAGAGAGTCAAAAGAAAACAGGCACAAGACAACAAACCCACCACCATCCCCATACCCTCAACATCCCTCAGCTTCACCCCCTATATCTCCCCAACCCATGCCAATATATTACCAAAACGCTCCTCCTCAATATTTGCATGCCTTATATCCTGTCTATAATGTTCAACCAACACACTTCCAAACTCCACCACCCACTCAAACACCAAATTACCGAAACAGACCTTCCTATGAAAGAATACCTACAAAAACCTATACCCCTTTGGCTGAACCCATAGCACAACTTTATGAGAGTCTGAAACAGGCTGGGTACGTCTCTCCAATTCCTGCATTTCCTGTGGATGTTTGCGCAAAATGGTACGACCCTAACAAGGTCTTCGCCTACCATTCTGGGATGAAGGGCCACACCACCGAAGCTTGCAGAGCCCTTAAGGATAAGGTTCAAATGTTGATTGATACAAAAACCATCCAACTGAAGGATCCTACACCGAATGTTGTGAATAATCCTCTCCCTAACCATCAAGTCAACATGGTGGAAGCTGGTAATGTCTGGGATTGGGAAGAATCTATCTAGGCCGTCGAAACAGAAGAAGCCGTGTCTACCACTGCCCAAGCACCACTAATAGTGCAAGGACTCTCCCCATTTGAAGTAGAAGTTTCTGCACCCAGACCACCGTTCGCTGTATATAAGGCATCCTCCCCAATACAATGTGACACACATGCTGTACCTTGGGATTACAACAAAAGAGAAACAAATGTGGAAGAGACAGATGTTGCAACAGGGGTCACCAGATCTGGAAGAATTTACACTTCTGAAAATTTGGTTCAGGGAAGCTCTAGCAAATCCAAAGCACCAGTCGTAGAGCTTGAGGATCAAAGTATTTGGAAAAAGGTTAAAGCTAAAGAATACTCTGTCATTGAGCAGCTGAGTAAAATCCCTTCCCAAATATCAATTCTGGAGTTACTGCAATCTTCCGAAACTCATCGAGATGCCCTTCTGAAGATCCTTGGTGAAGCTTATGTCCTATCTAACATCACTCATGGAGAGGTATCCCAAATGGTGGGGCAGGTCTTTGAGGCTTACAAAATATCTTTTCACAAAGATGAGCTGCCAATCGAAGGAACAACTCACAATAAAGCTTTGTACATTTCGGTTCAGTATCAGGATAAGGTGATAAACAAAGCATTAGTTGATACAGGTTCAGGTTTAAATATTTGCCCTCTGAGCACACTGACGAGGCTGGGCGTGGATAGTGCAAAAATTCAGACATGGAAGATGAATGTGAGGGCATTTGACGGCTCTCAGAGAGGCACTAGTGGGGAGATAACCTTGGACATGCTCATTGGTCCTGTCACTTTCCCCATAGCTTTCCAAATTTTGGACATCCCTTCATCGTACAACTTATTGTTGGGTCGTCCATGGATTCATATGGCTGGAGCGGTTCCATCTACTCTTCACCAATGCCTGAAGTTTGAATGGGATTACGAAGAGGTTGTAGTCCATGGGGAAAAGGGGCATCCTGTATACACGATTGAAGGAAGAGAGAATATGGATGGGGAAATGTACCATACAGTGGAGCTTGTTGGTAATATTGAGTTGCAACCTTGGTTTAGCCAAAAAATCATAGATATGATGGCCTGGTTCGGTTTCGAGCTTGGAAAAGGTTTGGGGGCTGAATTGCAAGGGATAGTCGAACCTATACAGCCTGTTCGACATTCCACTACTTTTGGTTTGGGGTATAAGTACACCACCGAAGAATGGCTCGATTGGCGACCACCTAGAGATGGGTACTACTATCCATTGAAGAAACCCATACCGCCATTGTATCAATCATTTCGATCAGCAGGTTTCATGGGAGGCAATATTGATGAGATCTCAGATGACTTGAAGGGGTTATCGCTAACCAAAGAAGAGGGGAAAGTTTGCAACGTCGTGATCAAAGAGGAGGAGAAAGGGGGCCCTAGTGGAAGCAAGGAAGCAAAGATCAGCATCAGCAACTGGACCTCGACTCCATCCAGACCTCGTCGAGCATCTGGGTAGCCTTGGAAGATGTTTTTTCTATCAAGTTTTAATTCAAATAAAAGAGTTTTTAATAAACGTTTTAATTCCTGTCGCCTGTATTGCTTTCGAATGAGGACTTATGGAATTTTCAAATCTTTATCAATAAAGTTCTTTTCCCCATTTTTTGTTTTGTATTTAATTTTTGCTATTTTTTTCTCACCAGCAAAATTCATTATAAAAATGTCGAATCTGAGACTGTGGCATACAATGAGACTGCTCAACTTAACATTAATGACTTAGAAGAAGTCGAAGACAATGAGGTTCCCGAGGAGTTAATCAAAAGGGTTGAGGAATTTGAGGAAAAACCCAATCCAAATTCGGTAGAGATAGAAGTGGTGAATTTGGGAAATGCAGAGGTGATACAAGAAAACCGAGTAAGCATCCATATGACAAAAGAAGACAAGAAAGAGTATACCGAGTTTCTCATAGAAAATAAGGATATTTTCGCGTGGTCCTACGCAGACATGACAGGGCTAAGTACTTCAATCATAGCGCATCGACTGCCCGTTGATCCAACATGTCCTCCGGTAAAACAGAAGTTGAGAAAATACAAGCCCGAGATGAGTTTGGAAATCAAAGAAGAAGTATCAAAGCAATTAGATGCGGGGATACTCCAAGTGACAGAATATCCAACTTGGCTTGCAAATGTCGTTCCAGTGCCCAAGAAAGACGGCAAGGTCAGAGTTTGCGTGGATTACCGAGATCTCAATAAAGCTAGCCCTAAAGATAACTTTCCATTATCAAACATACACATACTGATTGACAATTGTTCTAAGCACGAAACTCAGTCATTTGTGGATTGCTTTGCCGGCTATCATCAAATTGAGATGCACAAAGACGACGCTGAAAAAACCGCCTTCATCACGCCGTGGGGTGTCTATAACTACAAGGTGATGCCTTTTGGATTAAAGAACGCTGGGGCTACGTACATGAGAGCGATGGCTACTTTGTTTCATGACATGATCCATAAGGAAATTGAAGTTTATGTGGATGATGTCATCATCAAATCAAAGGAAAGCTTAAATCATTTGGAGGATTTACGGAAATTCTTTGCCAGGCTACGCAAGTACAATCTGAAACTGAATCCGGAAAAATGTGTCTTTGGTGTGCCTGCTGGAAAGCTTTTAGGTTTCATTGTCAGTCGTCGAGGTATAAAATTGGACCCGTCAAAGATCAAAGCCATTCGTGATCTTCCCCCACCAAAGAGCAAGAAGGAGGTAATGAGTTTCTTAGGGCGACTTAACTACATCAGCCGTTTCATTGCTCAGTCTACTATCATCTGTGAACCTATCTTCAAGCTGTTAAAAAAGGATGCTGCAGTGAAATGGACAAGTGAATGTCAACAGGCATTTGACAAGATCAAAGACTATCTATCCAATCCTCCTGTATTGGTGCCACCAGAGTCAGGTAGACCATTACTTTTGTATATTTCAGTATTGGATAATGCTTTCAGTTGCATCTTAGGAAAACACGATGAAACAGGGAGGAAGGAGCAAGCAATATATTATATGAGAAAGAAGTTCACATCGTGCGAAGCCCGATACTCTCTATTAGAGTGTACCTGTTGTGCTCTAACATGGGTTGCCCAAAAGTTACGACATTACCTCTCATCGCATACTACTTATCTGATTTCAAGGATGGATCCTTTGAAGTATATCTTTCAAAAGCCCATACCCACAGGTAAACTGGCAAAATGGCAGATATTGTTGAGCGAGTTTGACATAGTGTATGTCACGCAAAAAGCAGTGAAAGCACAGGCATTAGCAGACCACATGGCAGAGAATCCCGTGGATGATGATTACAGACCGCTGAAGACCTACTTCCCAAATTAAGAGGTGGCTTTTGTGGGAGAGGACATTTCTGAAGAATATGATTGATGGAGAATGTTCTTTGATGGAGCTAAAAATCTGAATGGATGCGGCGTCGGGGCTGTTTTGATCTCACCCACCGGGCAACATTATCCAGTATCAGCAAAACTCAGATTCCTTTGCTCAAATAATATGGCCGAATACGAAGCCTGCATACTAGGTCTCCGACAGGCGATCGACTTGGATGTCCAAGAAATGCTAATAATAGGGGATTCAGACCTATTGATCCATCAGGTTCGAGGTGATTGGGCAACAAAAAATTGAAAGTTGTTACCGTATTTGGAGTGCGTGCACAGGCTATGTAAAAGGTTTGTCAAAACAGAATTTAGACATGTACCAAGGGTCCAAAATGAATTTGCAGACACCTTAGCCACTCTGTCTTCTATGATTCGACACCCTGATCACAATTACATCGATCCTATTCACATTCATATACATGAACAACCAACTTATTGTTTCCATGTTGAGGAAGAGCCTGATGGAAAGCCCTGGTACGATGACATTAGAGGATATTTGAAGAGCGGTGAATACACAGATGATGCAACAAGTGTACAAAAGCGTACAATTCGAAGGTTAGCAACCCAATTCTTTTTAAGTGGGGAAACCCTCTATAGGAGAACTCTCGATTTGGGGCTACTAAGATGCGTCGAAGCAAGAGAGGCTCGCAGGCTGGTCGAAGAGATACATGCAGGCACCTGTGGCCCTCACATGAGCGGTTTTACATTAGCAAAGAAGATTCTGAGATCAGGATATTATTGGCTAACTATGGAGAAAGACTGCATTCGCTACGTCCAGAAATGTCATCAATGTCAGACTCACGCAGATATGATTCGAGTACCTCCCAACGAACTCCATGTCACTAGTTCACCTTGGCCGTTCGCAGCATGGGGCATGAATGTCATTGGTCCAATCGACCCAACAGCATCCAACGGGCACATATTCATTCTTGTCGCAATTGACTATTTCACCAAGTGGGTTGAGGCCACCTCCCATAAATCAGTGACAAAGAAAGTTGTGGATGACTTTGTCAAAAATAACATTATTTGTAGGTTTGGAATTCCTGAGTCAATTATCACCGACAACGGCACCAACCTAAACAGTGACCTGATGAGATCAATGTGTGAGAAGTTCAAGATCAGTCATCGAAACTCTACAGCATACAGGCCACAGATGAATGGGGCTGTTGAGGTAGCAAACAAAAACATCAAAAGGATATTGCGCAAGATGATAGATAATCACAAACACTGGCAGGAAAAGCTACCTTTCGCATTGCTGGGGTATCGTACCACAATTAGAACTTCCACAGGGGACACACCTTACTTCTTAGTATACGACACTGAAGCTGTGATACCCGCCGAAGTAGAGATACCTTCCCTAAGGATCATCCAAGAAGCAAAGTTGAGTGATGCTAATTGGATACAAGGTCGGGCAGAGAATTTGGCACTAATAGATGGAAGAAGAATTAACGCCATTTGTCATGGTCAGCTCTATCAGAATAGAATGGCCACAGCTTTCAACAAGAAGGTTAAACCCAGGCATTTCTCACCTGGGCAACTGGTTTTGAAGCGGATTTTTCCAAATCAAGACGAGGCAAAGGGTAAATTTTCACCAAATTGGCAAGGTCCGTACATAGTCTCTCGAGTACTGACAGGCGGAGCCCTCATACTTGCAGAAATGGATGGAGAAGTTTGGCCAAAACCTATCAATTCAGATTCTGTGAAAAAGTATTACATCTAGAGATTGATTCATGCTTTTTGTAACTTGGAACTACGTCAGACCTGATTTCCGTTTAAGAGGGGATACATAGGCGCTCCTATGGGGTTCGGTCTTATTATAAATAAAACTTTCATTTCCCCCTTTTCTATTGATAACTGGGGCAGAATTTTTGAGAGGATCTCAAAAATTCCAGCAAGATTTCTCCTGGCACATCTTCATATTGGGGCAGAAATTTTGAGTAAACTCAAAATTTCACCAAAAGTTTCTTCTCATCAAGCAGTCAGCTTACAACGAAGATTAAATGATAGCTCCACTTTTGAGTCAGACGTTGTAAAGTCTCAACCTATGCCATAGTCAAAGATTCGACATCAGCTTTTATTAAGTGATAATTTCAAAATCTTTCAAAGTTTTTTTATTTATTTTATTTTATTTTATTTTTATTTTTATTTTTTCTTTCCTTTCCCCCTTTTTATGAAAAAAAAAACAGCGCTCGAAGAGGTGTGGATGGCAAGTCAAAGGAGCACGCTGCACCAAATCATGGATACAGATCAACCTCCCCCCTTTAAACTAACTGTTTTTCTTTGAATGTAGAAAATACAGGTACATATACAAAGGCAACTGCAACAATCAACATCACCACATTTGAGCCCGACATATGACACTCGATCTTTCCAATAAGGCGGACGCCCAAGCTATTGTATTCCCTCAAGCAACTGCTGTGCTAACAAATTACATTATGCCCGATATTGCATCATTTCACACCTACGCCTGATATCACACTATGCTCAAAGAACTACATCATTATGTTATGCCCAAGAATGCCGAAATGCATCATTTCATGTGCTTGATATTGCATGAGCCCGAAGAAACACATTATTGCATGTGCTCGATATTTCATATGCCCGAGGAAATACATCATCGCATATGCCCAATATTGACTTATACTCGAAGAACCGCATTATTGCCTGCGCTCGATATTTTATGTGCCCGAAGAAATGCATCATTGCATGTGCTCGATATTTCATGTGCCCGAGGAAATACATCATCGCATATGCCCAACATTGACTTATGCTCGAAGAATTGCATTATTGCATGCGCTTGATATTTTATGTGCCTGAAGAAATGCACCATTACATATGCTCGATACTGCATGTGCCCAATATTACATTGTGCCCGAAGAAGTGCATCAATGCATTGTGCTCGATATTGCATGTGCCAGAAGAAATGCATCATTGCATGTGCTCGATATTGCATGTGCCCGAAGAAATGCATCATCGCATTGTGCCCGAGACTCCATTGTGCCCGAAGTTTGCATAAGCTCAAGATTGCATCGTGCTCGAAGTCTACATGCGCCCGAATCAAATCAAGTCATAAGTATCAACAGATGTCAAAAACAGATACGCTCTCTTTACTCATTATTGATATCCCAAAGGTGTCATCCTCCAAAGGCATCATTTTTCATGGCCTGCGGACTTCATGTCATGGCCTGAGGACTTATTTTATGCATATCATGTTCCTAAGGCGTCATAGTCTAAAGGCATCATCCTCATGTCCTGCGGACATCATATCATGGCCTAAGGGTTTAATTTCTGTCTATCATGATCCGAAGGTGTCATAGTCTAAAGGCGTCATCTTCATGTCCTGCAGACAACGTTTTCATGACCTGAGGATACACCCTGCATATCATGGCCCTAGACATCATAGCCTAAGACGTCATTTTGCATGGTCTTAAGGCAAACATTCATGGTCAATATGTGAAATTGCATCATGTTTACATTTACCGCTTTTTCTGCTCTAATTACTCTACTACAAGTTACAGTTATGCTGATTACAGACAAAGCTGCCTTCTGAACGCCTATTACCTCGCTTACAAACAAAGGCTCCAACAAATTCTTGGCTACTCGCACTATCGTTTCACTACTCATCTATCATTCAGGCTACCATGAAGATATCTTCGGATTCAACTCGCCACTATGACTTTCTATATCTTCAGCTAGGCTCGTCCGCCTTACAATGCGACATCTAGGCTCGTCTGCCTTACAATGTGACATCTAGGTTCGTCCGCCTTACAATGTGACATCTAGGCTCGTCCGCCTTACAATACGACATCTAGGCTCGTCCGCCTTACAATATGACATTTAGGCTCGTCCGCCTTAAAATGCCATTTAGGTTTGTCCATCTTATAGGACATTTAGGCCGTCCACCTTAAAGGGACATTTAGGCTTGTCCGCCTCATAGGACATTTATGTTCGTCCGCTTTATAAGATATTTTGTTCGCTTTATAAGATATTTAGGCTGTCCTCCTTAAAACGACACTTAGGCTCGTCCGCCTTAAAATGACGTTTAGACTCTCCTTATAACTAGATATTTTCGTCTATATTATTATATCTTTAAAGTATCAAATCTATTGGAGTTTGACGTCATTCTTCAGAGATGGGTTCAATCCTTCGAGAAGTTGAAGACTATCAAGGCTTGCACTACGTCTCAAACAGATATGTTTTTATCACCTCTTTCCTATTTAGAACTCATATTTTATTATTATTGGTCATACTTTATCTATTTATAAGCTAACATTTTATCTAGAATTTGCAGATATGATCGATCGCCCTTGATTACAATTATCACGCTATCCTCTATCACAACAATGATCCTATCAATTCTTCGCTTTTCATACTCCGAACCCTCGCTCAAAGGCTGATAGCCTTACTCTATCATGCTCTTCTCGCTTCTCTGTCATACTCTTTTAGCCTCTCAATCTCTCTCTTCTCGCTACTCTAATCTTATCCATTCAAGCCAATATCGTACCTTTCAAACACCTTAGCGCTCTTTCAACTTTTAAGAGCTTCATTTGCTTTTGAATCTAGAACTACACACAACCTGATTCTCGTATAACCAGAGATATGTAGGCGGCTTAATACCAAAGTCTCGGTCGTACCCTTTTCAACTCTATATCGTTTCAATTGATCCAACTGACATCTTTCGCCGGTCGGACAAAATCGGCTACTTAGTCAACGTTGGTTGCCTGACAATTCATTCTTCATTTTCAATCAACCAAGAGGAAGCTGTTGACACCCAATTTTGACCGACCTTTGACCATTTTTAGGAATACTATTCGATTAAATACGTATTTTAAATTTTAGAATTTTTAATCGGCTTTGCTTGAAAATCATATATTTTAGTATGTTTTATTCTATAAAATTATTGTAAATATTATTAAAATATTTTAAAATTATTAATGAATTTCAAATGTTAAAATTTAAATGATTTTCAATTACATAAAAAATATTTTAATATATGTAGTATTTTAATTAAATAGTAATTCCTACACTTTCCTTAAATTTTAAATTCTAGCCTATTCTATTCCAATTTCTTTCAATTCTAGCTACATGAATTAGAGTTTTATTACAATCATAGCCTCTCTTTCATTCCAATCCTAGCCAAATGTTATTGCAATTTTAGCCATTCCGTATCTAACTCATCTAATTTCAAGAAATCATCTTTTGATCTCATCCGTCTATTTAATTAATAAATCCTAGATCGAATCCTAACCCTTCATCTCTATCTAAACCGACGGTTGTGATTAAATCTCCCATTCTCTTTCTTCAACACCAAAAGACACTAAAACCTAAAATTTTAATTCATTTTTCTCTTCCCCCCCTCTCCAAGCCTCCACCCCACTCTTCCTTCCCTCTCCCGTCGAACCTCCTCCCTCTCTCCCTTTTTCCGACCAGCCGCCCTCTCCCTTCTCTCTCTCTCTCCAGCGCCGGCCCCCTCTTTCCTCGCCATCTTCCGGTGAAAGCCACCAGAAGATCCAGCGCCAGCCGCCTCTCTCTCCCCTTCACCCATCGCTCCCTTCTCCTTCGAAGCCCCATCGTCCCCCTCTCTCCAGCCGTCTCTTTCTCTCCCCCCTCCTTCCCGATCGCCCCTCCAAGTGGTGGCAGTCGCCCCTCTCTCCCTTCCCTCTCCTTCGTTTCCCCCTCATCCCTTCTCTCTTCTCCCTCTCGCCCCTCTTCTCTTCTCCTTCTTCTTTTGCAGGCCGGCGATAGCCATCACGCAGCAGCAGCAGGCAGGCGGCGCCACCCCTCTCTCCCCTTCCCGTCTCTCCTCTTCCCTTTCCTTTTCTCTTTGCAGGTAGCAGCAGCCGGCGACAGCCACCACGCAGCAGCAGCCAGGCGAGGCACCGGCGACGACAACAACTCCCACCAGCAGTTCCGGACAGCGAGACGACGAGCTCGATGAATTTGAAAATGGTTTTGACGGATTTTTTACAAATCCGTCTAGGTCTGCTCTCTTTTGACTAAAATCGCTTTTATTTTAATTTAATTTTTTGGTGTGGCGGAATTTTCAATGCTGTGCTTGTCGCATGTTAAAAATTATACAAAATCACTATCTTGAACAATTATATTGTTAATAATCTGTGAATTTTTTTTATTTCTTTGATCCATATAAATATGCCTTTGTGTTATATGCTTTAGTTCCTAGTATCCTTTGAGGTTTTCTACTGATTTGAAAATTTTAGTTTTTGACTCAATATTTGGCTTTCATAATCTGTCCGCAATATGTTTAATCCCTCCTTTTCATTAATATTTGATTTGATCAATTGTTACTTGTTTATCTATGACAACCTTATTTATCTTCCTTGTGTTATTTTGTAGAATAATATTAGTTATTTTAAAAATCTGATTTTGGCTCATTGGAAGTAAAAATATTTAATTGATTTCTTAATAATTCTTTTCCTTTTATTTCTGTCAATTTGTGTATATTACTAATATATTGAATATCCTTATTTGATTTGCTTGGGTAATAAGAATTTAAACTGATTTGTATATGGTAAAATAATTTTTTGGCTCTTCTTTATTTAAGGAAAATATATTGCTCTTCCTAATTCTTTCTTGCTTAAGTTTAGTAATTTTTTTTAATAATCTGATTTGGCTCTTAAAATAAAAATAAGTTTAATTGATTTTGTTATTTTTAAATTTACTAATTTATTCCTACTTGTTTATATTTGGTAATGAAATATATTAACATATTTTCTGATTTGGATACCCTTTAAAATAAGGAAAATTGTATTATGATTGATTCCTTGAAATATTTATTTCCCTTATTTGTTCCCCCCTCATCTACTATATAAAGAGACTCCTTTTGTTCATTCACACACTCATTCACTCTCAACCAAAAAGACATTCATTCACTCTCAACCAAAAATTCTCTCATCACTCTCCCTTCTCTCATTGCTCTCTTGCTACTTTAACAACACATTAAGAATCCGGTAAATATTCAAGTGTTCTTCTTCACTATTTTGCTACTTTAAAAGTTGAATCAATTTGTTTTGCTTAACCGGTTAGTATTCTTAACATTTATACTATCTTCACATTCACATATTTGTGTAAGCTATTGTTTGTTTTTTGTAATGTAGAATTCGTCATTAAATAATTGCATATTGTCTCACCTTGACTAATAAGTGTGATTGCTTGTGTAGTTATTTGATTACTTTGACAGGTTTCAAACTTGAAGTTCAAGTTGAAGATTAATTGAAGAAAGATTTATTTGTTTATTTGAATGTATATATATATCTATATATTTTTATTTATTTTCTATTTTTATTTATTCGAATGTTGTAACAATTGTAACTCTAAAGATCATATAATAAATTTATTTGGGGGTCGTCTAGGGGAGGGGGATTTATATGCTTACTTGTTCACTATATTTTTTTTTTAGAAATCATGCCTAGGTTTGTCTTTAACCACCTAGATTTGGTATTTGTAGATGTTATAATCTAATCAATTTTCAATTTGCTTGACGCTTTTGTTAATAAGTCTTAAAAAATAATAACTAGATTCCATTAATTTTTTAAAAATGGTAAAATCAAATCCTAATAATCTAGTAGGTTGTTAAATGTCAAAATATATTATAAATTTTCATTTGTCTTATCACGTAGAAACTATGCCTAAGTATTAAATTGTTCATATCATTTATAAAATCATGCATATACATGTTACTCTGTTTTTTTAAACACCTAGAAATCATGTCTATAGGGCTGTAAATAAACTTTCAGCATATCCACAAAAAATAAAATTTGTTTGAGCATATTTGAGCCCTCCCCCAAAAATTAGTTAATATTATTTAACTAGTAATCCTATTTGTCTGCCGCATTCATGATGCAATATTTTTTCTTAATAATACTAATTTAGAATCATTTCATGCATTTAACAAGTTATTTGGCTTTAAATATATTTTATCGTAAAACCTTTGCATTTAATAAATTTACCACCTTAATGTTTTACTAGTTTTTTAGTACTTACAAAATTTTGCAACATAATTTTTCTTAAAAGTCATTATTCAATCTTCCTTTGAAATTTTGGATTGATTCTGACATTATTTTGAAATAAATTACAAGTACTATCTCTTAACCTATCGTTAGTGGGAAAGTCATAGGAACTACGAGGTCTAGTTCCATTTTTTTTTAAACCCGACGCATCCCCGGAAGTACCACCTACCCATGGATTTCAAAAGAAACTATGTGCATTTATATGAAAATGTTTATGTGCCTACGTGTGAACTAAATCTATTAAATCATTTTTCCAAACAAAAAACACATAACTTTTTTAGACCGACCTCAAAACAAAATTGTTTATAT